AAAATTTTACGTCCGAATACGTTTTGACCATATTTATGAACCAATATTTAAGGGGACATTTCAGTTCAAAATGTCAAAAAAATCGATTTTTTTTCTTTTTTTTCGGATTTCTTATAATAGTGTCAAGAATACTCTCCTAAAATATTATTTTATTGCGGATAAGCAATCGAATGATTTAAATGTTTTCTTATTTGCATTTTTTATGAGACAAACAAAAATGTATTTGGTGTTGCTGATCACAAATTAGATATCAAATTTTCAAAATTCAAAATGGTGGATCCAATATGGCGGAAAAGAAAATTTTTATATTTTAAATAATTGTAGATATTACAATACATAATAAATGACTTATAAAAAACGAAACGAAAATTTCTATCAATACACAGATATTTTTTATATTTTAATTTTTTTTTCGTTTAATTTTTTTTTCGTTCACCATATTGCATCCGCCATTTTTAATTTTGAAAAAATTATGTCATATTCGTAATCAGCGACCCCAAAAACCCCCCGTAAGTAACGATTTTCAAGCAGATCTAATGATTTTGAAAAAAATGGCCGCCATATTGGATCCGCCATTTTGAATTTTAAAAATCTGATTCCATATTCGTAATTAGCGACACTAAAAACAAAGTCTTCCTTTAAGCCCGAAATTTGTCTTTTTTCAAGGTGTAAACGGAAGTAGACCATGTTGGCTGAATGTCAGTAATGATTAGAAGTTTAAAAAGAATACTCCCCAATTGATACAAGTAAGGTGTTAAATGAACTGAAATTCAACTGTAAGCTAGTAAGAAGGCTATAATTTAGCCAAACCATCTAGCTAAATTTCAGCCTTCTTACAAGCTTACAGTTGAATTTAAGTTTATTTAACACCTTACTTGTATCAATTGGGGAGTCTTCCGTTTACACCTTGAAAAAAGACAAATTTCGAGCTTAAAGGCGGTGTCAAAGTCGATGCGATTTTTCCATTGAAGCTCAATGCAAAAATCCAATCCACTTTGACACCGCCTCAAAGAAAGACTTTGTTTTTACAGTGTATGTTCATATTCTTGAATAAAATAAACATATGTCACATTTAATTTCTTATAACAAACAACAATTATTAAATCTATCAGTGGAAATTTCTCTCTTTAAGATAAAGAATTAAATGCTAAAGCACATATATATTAGGTGAAATTAAGATTATAAAATGTTTATAAACTTGTTTATAATCGAATTAAAATATTAACATACTAATAAAACTAAACTTTCTGTCTAAGATTCACCAATTATAAATATAATTTATGGACTTATATATTATTAATAAAACACGAGTCAAAAGTAAACCGACAAACCGGCGACGCGACGCGCTATTCAGACTTTTCATGCGTCCCTTGTGACGTCACAATAAACTTTTTCAGCCTCGCCAGACTTACAGTCAGCTGTTAGCGTACCTTATTAGAAGTTAACTTCATCTAACTTTTTATTAATAGCATTGGATCTGAAATTAAGTCCGGTGTATTACAAATAAATTACAAACTGAGTTTTATTTAAGTAAGAGTACAACTAACTTTAATTTTCAGTTAGTTTTTACACGGAAAAAAATTTCCTGTGAAAATTACAAGATTTCCTGTGCCATCTATGAACGGCGGTTGTAGTATCCACAAACGGCTGAGTTTGGGAAATACACAAACCAGAATGGGTCTTGTCACAAACTTCAGTTTATGATTCCAACAGCTTAAACAGTCACGCAGCAGACGACAAGCAGACGTTCACTTGAATTTTCTTGCGCATGCGTGGATTTCTTGGTGTAAGGTAGTCCAAGTTGGGTGGGGGAAATGCAATATGGCTGACATCAGCTGATTTACCGGAGGACAAACAATGCATTGAATTCAATGGGACAAATTAGTTTTTTAACCATAACTTTTTAAATATTCATTTTTGAACCATAGTGTAATGGAAAATTATTCTTTATTTATCGAAATCTATTTTTTAAAACAATAAAACCAAAAAATTTAATTTTATTGTTTTAAAAAATAGATTTCGATAAATAAAGAATAATTTTCCATTACACTATGGTTCAAAAATGAATATTTAAAAAGTTATGGTTAAAAAACTGATTTGTCCCATTGAATTCAATGCATTGTTTGTCCTCCGGTAAATCAGCTGATGTCAGCCATATTGAATTTCCCCCAACCAACTTGGACTACCTTGTTATAACAGATTGGTTTGTGGTACACACAAACCAGCTTGTTGGAAACACAAAACTCGCCTGCATAATGCACAACTTAACCTATTTGTATATTTTACGAAAAAGTTTGTGTTTTCTATAAGAAATTTTTTTCCGTGTATGATTATAAATAAAGTTGATAGCTTAAGATAAGTCAAAAATTAAAACTAGCCACCATTAAATTTAAGACTTTGTTTTTACTGTGGACCTCAAAAACCCCCGAGTAACAATTTTCAAGCAAATACGATGATTTTTTTAAAAAAATTTCGAAACTTATGAACAAAAACTTTAAATGCGTTTTTCTCAAAATGTCTTTTTTTGATCTGGTAAGAGTGATATCTCGAGTTCTTCTGAAGCTATTTTAAAAAAACAAACAGCTTTTGATTTAGCGTCATCATGCCTATAAGTGGAACCTCAAAAACTGGAAAATTTCCAACTCCCCTTTATTTTATAAGAGAAATTCTGAATAAAAACATCTTTCTTTTGCATATTTTGGGGAAAAAGTACTCTAAAAAAAGGGGGGAAGAAAATTCCACTTTTTGGAGGTTCCACACCTAAAGAAATATCTAACGAAGAGAATGTCACTTCGTTTTTGGTTTTATCTGTTTTAGAAAGTTTGGAATCGATCTTACCACCGAAAATGGGCATTTTCGAAAATGGCGTATATCGCCGTCATTTTGAAATAAAAATAAAAAATTTTTTTTTTACAGATTCTTAAATAAATTATTTATTACATGAAAAAGAAAATGTTTAAATAAATGTCATAGTTATTTTAATAATATATACTAAAAAGCCTTCTTTTTGCCTGTTTTGAACTGGAATGTCTCCTTAAAGGCCAATTGAAGGTCATCTTTGTCCAGTGTTAGAAAAATGAAATATTTCGAACTAAGGTTCTTGACCTTGACGCTGACATAATGGAGTGATATGGACACCTGGATCGTAATCAGCGACTATAAAAACATAAAAAGCAATTTGTTTTAAAATCCATTCCTAGCTAACTTTCCGGAGAAGAGAATGAAATTAAAATTTGACCTTCTAGATGACCTCCATTTGACCTTGAAAGTTGGTTTCCTTTCTTTCCGAATCCGAGGTTAAAAAAACTAAATATTGCAAAATGAGGTGTTTGACCTTGAGTTGATAAATTGACCTTTATGCTGACGTGATGATGGTCATACGGACACCGGCATCGTAATCAGCGACTTCAAAAACATAAAGGTCACGTATACGCTTAGAGCATGTCCACCTCAATTTCCCTCTGTGGTCCTGTGTTATATACATAGGGTGATGTGGGGTGATGTGCAACGTTTTTTTCGTTGGACGAAAAACATGTCAAATAATTAAATTTTTAAACATTTCAAAATTGAATGAGTTAGAGGCATTATAATAGAATATTCCTGCATTATTAGATTTTCAGAATTTTAAATTTTTCCTACAAATGTTTCGCTTTTTCAAAAACGTCTGTTTTTGCATTTTCCAAAAAAGTTGGGGTAATGTGCAACACCAGTAAAATTCAGGTATGTAATGCATTAAATATCGATGAAAATCTCTTTAATTATTAATTTCAGGCTTTTTCAATGCAAACTAATCAAAATCTGCCACAAAAAAATTTACTAAGGTATAGTTGACCTCTAAAAAGTGGAGATTTCACCAAAGAAAAAAAAATTTTTTTGTTCAATTTTTTATTTATTCATAGTAGCTGAATAAGGAATATAATTAAAAGAAAATAACTAAGCATTTTTTATTGATCATGTGAATCGCAGTTATGGCACGTAAATAGTATATTAAGCAACAAGGGTATAAAGGCAGCCATTTGTTTACGGTGATTTTTGTGACACGAGTGGAGGTCGAGGGCGCCGTAGGCCCCGAGACCGGAACAAGTGTCTCAAAAATCATCGTAAACAAATTAGCTGCCTTTATTCCCGTGTTACTTACGATATTTTTTATTCCTAATGCACAAAAGTGGCGATTCAGATAGCAGACGACAGGGAATAAAAGTCAGTCACTTGTTCGACTTATATGGCGGCCGTTTTCTCCCTTGGACAAAAATAACGCATGGGATCAGCGGTTATGTTTGCACATGGGAGAAAATGGACGCCATTTTCATATGGTCAAACAAATGAGTGACTTTACTCCCTGTCGTCAGTTATCTAAAAGCGCCATTTTTGTGCATGTGGGATAAAAAAGTAGTTACGTCCACCCCAAAAAAAAGTGTTGCACATCACCCCAAATATGATATTTTGCGAAAAATGATTTGTACGCAATACAATGCAATGGAAACACAAAATATAAACAGATATTTAAAAACACTTAAAAACCCAACAATAAACACACTCTTATCTATAATATAGTATATTGTGCAACAAGTACAGAAAGAAGCTGTTTTCCGACGAGTGCAAAGTTTGTTGCTCCGAGCGAAGCGAGGGCAGTAATTTGCGCACGAAGTCGGAAAATCTTCTTTCGTACGTGTAGCACACAGTACTTTGTGCAACACCTGTTTACCGAAAAAATAAATTAAAACCCTTCACGAAACGACTAGAAATGTAAAGCGCGAGAAATTTAAGTCAACTTACGTACAGCAAACCTAGCTGCGAGCTGTCTCGTGAATTTTATATCAAAAACAAGCTATTGAGGACACAAACAAATAGCAATACTTGGCTTTTTCAATATCGCCGAACTGTAGATCAGAAATCGGCGGTGTTGCACATCCCCCCATGTTTCACATCACCCTACCTATAGATTTTATTAAGGATAAAAGACGAATTATGCAGAATGTAATTTTAATTGATATTTACAGAACAATTAATTTTGGTAGTCTTGGTACTATAATGGGTCACGAAATTGCTCATGCCTTTGACGGTAGTGGTAAGTATATGTATAAATATCCTCGGTATGTACACGGAAAAAAAAAGTTCACGAATCTCTCGTGAACTAGTATATCACTTTTGGATGGGACACAAAATTCTTGAAAATCAACAAACACAGTTCGTCAAAATTTCATCAACTCCTTCACTAGAAACATAGTACGGTTTCCGAACTTTTCGTCAAAGTTAACGAAAAATTCGTGAACTTTTAAAAAATGCTAAAAACAAGAAAAAATAATTTTCAGACACTACTTTTTTATAGTATTTCACTTAATTTGATAACTTGACGCCTATACGCACCCAACTACACAGAATACACAATTTTATCGCCATTAAAATTCGTTATTCGCTTCACGGGATTCGAACCTAGTACCCTATAACATAATATTTCTAACAACTAACCGCCACGGCTAAACCTATATACACAGTACTTTTGCAAATGGCACGATTAGCTTTGTCTGCTGTAAAACTCAGGACCGTGCAAAGTAGAAAAAGACCCTTGTCGTAACCTTTAATTTATTTTATGAATTATTTGTTTCACAAAAGAAATTACCACACAAAAATATTCATTAAATAATAAAAAACACTGTTTCTAAATAATAACTTTCATCAAAGAATTTGCCCGAATGTAAACACCCGAATGTTCAAGAATGGACTGAAATTGTACTGGGGAATTAGTACTGAGAGCTCAGTGCTATTTCAGTGAAAATTTGCTGCGTTTCAGCACTGAAATTGTACTGGGAAAAATTACCTGCAAAAGGGTCGCTATCGGTGATGTTTATGGCCTGACCGTCATTAAATTGAAGGACGAATATTTCTTTGTTAATGTTAAAAATAATTTTTATTTATATTTCAACATTATATTTGTTTTTCATGAACTCAGATTCTTTACAAGTAATTATTATGTATGCTAAATATTCATGTTAATCTAAATTCAAAAATAATATCCGTTTTTACGTAACAATTAGAGTTTGCGAGATCCCAGTAAACGAAAACTAATTGAAATGAATTAAAAAGAATTCACAAAGAGCTTTCGTGAATCCCGCTTTGTGACAAATACGAATTGGAGCCATGATGCAATTTTCCTGAATTCGTGAAACTGTATTGAACTTCCGAACCTTCTATCGGTACCAATTCACTGGACAAGTTTTGAGCCTTTAATTTTTTTCAATTCGTTAGCACGAATTCAATGCATTCCTTGGCCATTTCTTTCGAATGCGAATTCGTTTGGACAAATTGGTACATATTGAATTAAATTCAATTGAATATACAAAGAGCTTGAGTGAATCCCGCTTTGTGACAAATACGAATTGGAGCCTACCAAAAATGTTAATTCGTTTCAATTCATTTAAATTAGTTTTTTTTTACTGGGATAGTTTATAACTTTTTTAATTAAACATTTTTTATAATGAATTTTAGATATTTGTAATCATAAAACATCACAGATTCAAATTTTTTTGTTTTGAAAATTGAATTATTTAAATTGTAAACTTTTTAAGCCATAAAATTATAATCCCATACAACAGTAGGCTTTCGGGTCTATTGTTAAAGCAGGGGTTGCAATATAAGTTTAAAATTTAACGGGAATTTCGTTAAAAATTTTGTTAACCTTTTTTTATTTTCACTTCCAAACGGTTAACAATGGTTTGTTGACATAACCTACATTTGAAACTATTGTTAAAGATCTTTAAAAATGTCTAACGAAACATTAAAAAAAACGGACTGAAATTGTACTGGAGGCCAGTTCAATTTCAGTACTTTTTCCATCCATTCTTCCGGCAGGGATGACACTGACTGAATGATGAATGTAGATCAGCCATATTTGATGCGCATTACGAACTGCGCATACTACTGAAACTCGCGAGTTCACGATTTTTTCGTGAACTGGTACCTCTACTTTTGACGAACTACTCATCCTTAACACAGTTCATCAAAAATTCATTAACTTTGTTTCAGTTTTTCGTTGACGTTCGCCATTTCTAATCAAAAGTTAATGAAAATTTTGTGTCCCATCCAAAAGTGATATACTAGTTCACGAGAGATTCGTGAACTTTTTTTTCCGTGTAATAATTCTTGGAATTAAAAAATATTTATGTGAATGTGAAGCAAATTTGACTAAAAAAATAATTATCAGGAATAAATTTTAATTTAACAATAGGAATACTTTTCGACAAGAATGGAAATCCTGTTGATTGGTCGGAAGAAGATGGAATGGAATTGGAAAAAAATGCAATGTGCTTTTTCACACAGTATGGAAAATTTTATCAAATTGATGAAGACGATTCTTTAATGGTTAGTTATTGAAAGATTTTAAAATTATTAATAAAATTATTTTAAGATATTTTTTCTTAATTTGTAAGTAATTTTTTTTTATTTAAGGGTGGTCGAGAAAAAACATTGGATGAAGATATGGCTGATTCACTAGGAGTCGATATAGTTTTTGAGGCTTTTGAAGAAATGGAAAAGGAAAAAAATGAACCACGATTGCCAGGATTTGAGAAATTAAGCAATGAACAAATTTTCTTTTTAAGGAGGTTCTCCGGCTGCTACTCTTGAAAAAATCGATTTTCTTCCAATTTTATTTAAATTTTGAGAAAATGTTTCTTCGAGTGCGCTCTAAATGTGGTAGAAATTTCAGAACCCTTTGCCATGCTAAATTTTGAAATATTCAAGTTCAAACTTCAGCTTCTACATGCGATTATTTTGAAAATGAAAAATGCCAACTACGATATCTCGTTTTTTGACATGGCAAAGGGTTCTGAAATTTCTACCACATTTAGAGCGCACTCGAAGAAACATTTTCTCAAAATTTAAATAAAATTGGAAGAAAATCGATTTTTTCAAGAGTAGCAGCCGGAGAACCTCCTTAAGTTACGCCAAAGTAATTACAAACAAGTTGTTAATTTCATGACCATTTAGCTTCCTCAACATATAAAATATAAATTCGTGACGTAATTCACTTACAAAATTTTAGCAAACTCCATCTAAACATATGTATAAAATTAAATTTATCGCATAGAATCGGGATAGAATCCAATCAAACATATAAAATATTTACTAAAGTTAATAATATATTCATTAGTTCATTTTAGGTACAAATCTCCATGAAAACCAAATTATGATTTTTCAAAAGCATAACAATCAAAGCATACATTCTTCTTAAGGAAATATCTTTTTGATGCAGCAAGATATATTCATAAATTAAATGTAATTATATTGCGGTTTGCAAACTTTTGCAATTCGAAATGATTCGAATTTTCTGTTGTCGAGTCGATTAATGTTCGGTTCGACTCGATTAAATGCACACCTCTATGTCATATGCAAATTGCTTCTTTTTTATGATAGAATAATCATTTAAAAATATTAATATTAAATAAATTATGAAAAAATACAAAATTTGAATTTTTTGTGAAAAAGAAAAATTTCTATTAATTTTATAAATTTTGATAAAAAATATACTTTGTATACATCAATCGATTCGTTTTCTTGTCAGGAATGTAATTTTGAGAATAATTAATTAAAATATTAACAAATAAAAAAATTATTTACAAAAATAAAAAAAAAAAATTTTTTTGAATTTTAAAAAAATTGTATAAAAATTTTTTTTTTAGATATTTTTGAAAATCCTTGTGTCAGATTTTAGGTATTAATGACTGCAATAAACCTGCAAAATTTCAAGACAATCCATCAAAATTTGTTTGAGATAATTTGTACACAATTTTTGTGACATACACACACACACATACATCTGGACATTTGCTCAGAATTGAATATACATATGTTATAGATGAAAATGAGTCCATATAACCTTCTTTTGAAAAATTGAAAATCGTCACGAATGCAAAGCTTCCTTATGAGGAAGCAAAAAAATATTTAAAAATCAAAAAAGAAAAATGTTAGTTAAGAAGATTTTTTAATTAAAAATTTTTTTTTTTAATTTTCTCTTAGCAAAATTAGAATAATTTTATTTGCTTAATTATTATTATTTCTTTTTAATTTGCATCAATGAAAGTAAAAAAGTTTTTTAATTTACTTTTTGGATTTAATTAAAAATTAGTGTATTAGTAAAATTAGTATTTGTTTCTTAAATTATAGATTTGGTGCACCAGCGCAACTCCAGAATATGAAGAATTGGTTGGAAAAGAAGATGTACACAGTCCATCGCGTTATAGAGTGATTACAACTGTTCAAAATTCTGAAGGATTCTCCAAAGCTTTTAATTGCCCGAAAGAAAGTCCAATGAATCCAAAAGAAAAATGCCGACTTTGGAAAAAATAACAAATATGTGAAATTAAATAATCGAATTTTTCCTGTAATAGATAATTATTATCAAAATAAAAAAAACCATTTTTAATTCATGAACAGAAAAATTATAACTTAGGGAAATAGTTGTTAATTCATTTTTTGAATTAATAAATAATCTTTTTATCCGGTAAGTTCTCAAATGCGCCACTGGACAAATGCGCCACGGACAATTGCGTCACTGGACAAAGGCCCCACATTTGTCATATTTGAGGAAAGTGAAAAGTTTGTTCGAGAGATGGAGCTAGGTGTTCTTGGTATAGAAATTTGTCAAGTGAATTCAATTTCTTGCCAATTTCGCTCCATATAGTGAAAATAAATTTAAGTGATGTGTTAATTAACTGGTAATTAATTAAATGTTCTATATCAATTGCGGATAACATTTTTGAGGTAAGTTGCTGTTTTTATTTTATATTAATAATAATAATAATAAATATTATTATTATTGTTTAAAGAAATGTGGAAATTTTTTTTAATAACTAATTTATGAAACATTTTATTTTTAAATCGTTTTTATTTATATTTTTTCTTTGGAATAATTTAATAATTCCTTTAATAATAAGATTTTTTGATATTTTCAAAAGCTCTTTATTTTTATAGAATTAGTTTGTATTTTAATTAAATAACGAGATTAAGAATTCTTTATTGTATTATACTTAATTTTACTTTCATAATTATAAATTAATTGCATTTATTTTAAACTTAGAAAGTACTTAAATTTTCTTGAAGACAAATAAAATATAATTTATTAACAATTGTAATATTGAATATAATTCTATTTTCTAATTTGAATTTCATTTAATTAATTTTTTAAATTAGCTAACGTAAAAGTTTTTCTGAATTCACGTTCATACTTTTAGAAATGATAAGACTTCTTATAAAGTTTCCAATATTACGGAAGTTTAGAAAAATTATTCCAATTTTTATTTTATAATTAATGGTATTTATATTAAAAACAGTAATATTTTAAAAAATAATTTTTTTTTTGGAAACGTAATATATAAAAAAAGCAGGCTTCGCACTCATCTACTAAAATCTATACTATTTACTCCTTTTTTTTGTCAAATTTCTGACACTAAATTATAATTATATTTGTTATTGAAAATTCTTTTAAACAATTGGAAATTGAAGAATGTTCGCAATGTTTTTTTAATATTAAATTACCATGTATTGATGCGAAAAACTCCAAGGATTAATTTAAAAAATGACAAATCAGTAAACTCCAATATTATATAGAAATTGTGTAGAATTTTCTGCCAAAATGCAGCCGAAAATCGACTTTTAATCTTAAAAATCCGCTTGGAAGCGTGAAGTTTTCAACAAAACAAGAGAAGATCTTATTTATATTCGTTTGCAATTTTATTTTTTTCCTGGAGCTCGAGTTGATTGTCGTCTGCATTTTGGCAATAAAATAATTTTTTTGCCAATAAATTTATATTCTTAATTATATTACAATTTTTATACTCACTTTATAATTTTTCTATAGTTATTAATATAATTTTTCTATAATTTTTCTATAGAATAATGCAATTTGTAATTGTTTTTGTTTAATATTTTTGAGAGATAGGATAGATATTAATTTAGCAATAATAGAGGGGTAAATAAGGATTTTATTTAAAAAAATTTAATTGACGAATAAAGTTACAAAATTTGGTCGAAAAATTGAGATTCAATTTTAACATATTTTTCAAAACTTTTAATTACATTATTTGGCTTTAATATAATTTTTAAAATTGTAACGGTCTGTGATGCCTAATTGAGTGCTTGGATACAACAAGGGGACGTACGCTCGGCGAGCCGCTTTAAAGTCAGTCAAAGGTACCGTAAAGTGTAAAAAATGAAAATTCAAAATTTTGAATTTTGAAAACTGCCATCTTATTGGAAATAGAAATGCGCATCTTTTTTTCCTTTGAAATTTCTTTGAATAATTAATATTTTTATATGATAATGGAAAAAATGTGATAAATTTTCATTGTCAAATTTCATTGAATTTTAAAATATAAATCGTCGTATCTCCGACAAAAATGAATGAATTCTTTTGATTTTTGGTATACAAATGCATTTGGACCTATAGAAGACGACAATATCACGAAAATGTTAAAAGCAATTAATTGTTTATTGATTTTTAATTGTTAATACTGACCGGTCAAAAATAATTTTTTCTTATCTTTGACTGCAAAAAGTATGCGGGGAACTTTAAAATTCAAACAACTTCCAGTGAGACATTTGTTTATTACGATGTAAAGAAGTTTTCTGTAAAATTGCAGAAAGATTAGTTTTATATTTACAGAAATACAATAGTTTTAAGAAAAATGCTCGCGCCGCCAACGATCCCTACTCTCTAAATTTGAATCAGTGAAAATACTACTGAATCAAACAGTAATAAAATATTTCACTGATGAATCAGTGATTGAACAGATTTTGACTAATTAATTCAGTAGTTTCTTGTTACTGAATTAAATCAGTGAATTCAACGCAGGCGCAGAAGCTATTGACAGAAGAAATTAGTTTTCACTTACCAACGCGTGCGTCAAAGCGTCTGTTTTGTGTTTTTTTCTTTTGCACTTCGTGATGGTAAATAAAATTGTTTAAACTGTTGCAAAATAGTTCGGAGAAATACAAATAGTGTTATTCGTAAGTATTTTACTAATTATATATTTTCGTATTTATGTAATTGTTACAGATAAATTGTATTGCTTTTCATAAAGAATTCTAACCTAAAATTTAGCATTTGTAAACAAAATTTTCTACTTATATTTAATAACAATTATATACACAATTGTATTGCATAAATTATGAGATTTGATAGAATAGAAATTGACGTTTTAAAATGTGGTTTAACCTTTTCTCAAGCTTAACTTTAAAATCTCACATTAAATAGAAAGATTATTGAATTTTTTTTAGCTAACTATTTCTTATGTATTATTTCAATATCTAAGTAATTTTATTATTGTCATTTAACATCATCAAAAGTATAATTATTATATTTAACTGAATTATCTTTTCGAAAATTAAACTTATATTTTATCTCAAGAATGATATTTGTAGTTCAATTAGAAAAATCGGTTATAAAAAAATAAATTAGAATTTGAAAAAACTTTTAATTTACTTTTATTTTATTTTTCATTAGTTAGTAACTGTTAAAATTTTTTATTATTTATTTCATTAGTTATTATTTTATTTTCATAAATTAAAACCAAAAAAATTTTAGGACTATTTTCTTTAATATATTTTATAATTAATTGTTAATTTAATTTATTTTTAGATACAATTTGGAAATAAAAAATGAATTTCGAGAGCTTGACGGTCGAGGAGCTAGCGACTCACTTAATAAATGGCCATAATATTGATCAGGAAACAATTGAGATCTTGAAAGGTACATAATTAATTTAAAATCACTTAAGTTCAAAAGTAAAAAAATAAATTTTTATTAAATTTATCTATTTTAATAGGAAAACAAATTTTATAATATCAAATATGATTTTTTGCCTTACTTTGATATAAATACTTTTAAAAAATGGAGCGTATTCGATGTTTTAAATGCAGAGAATTTGTAAACGGAGGTGTTGATGGTTTAAGCATACATCTAAAATTTAATCATGGATATACAATAAATAGAGGTTATGGTAATACTGGATTTGAATGTGCACAAGGTGAATGCCGAAAACGGTTTGCTCTTTTCAGTTCATTGAGAAGACATATTGTACAAAATCACTCACAACATGAAGAATTCGAGGAAAATAATGAATTGTTAAATGAAAATAATGAATTTTTAAATGAAAATAATGACAGATTTGAAAATGAACTTGAGGTTGAGAATGCTAATAATGAAGAACACAGAGATTTTGAATTTCAAGAATATGAAAATGTAAATTTCGACATTCATTTGCGTTCATTAGTAGCATCTATGATAAGTAGATTACAGTCAAAGCCTTCCATGACTGGAGCAACTGTAGCTGACGTATTAGACGAATGTGAGCAATTGTTAATAAATTCAACGCGCTTTTTACAATTTAAAGTAAAAAACTTTTTACGTGAAAGAGAAATTGTGAATACTGAAGAAAGTCAAATCCTGCTAGGTCATTTCAATTTCGAAAATGTTTTTTCCGGACTAGAGACTACCGAACAGCAGATGAAGGTTCTAAGAGAAAATTATAACTATATTGACGCCATAGAAATTCCTCTTGGTTACAGGGAAGATACAGTCCTTGACAGAGAATCAGGAACCTTCATTCCAAAATTGATAACGGAAACGTTTCAATACGTTCCAATAATTAAAGTTTTATCACTGGTTTTACAAAGTGATGAAGTTAGAAACTCCATTTTATCGGAAACTGGGTCTGAAGAAGGAGTTCTTAATTCCTTTGTCGATGGTCAACATTTCAAACAACATGAGTTCTTTCAGAGGTATAAATCCGCCTTAAGAATCGAACTCTATTTCGATGATGTTGAAATAGCTAACCCCTTAGGCTCAAAAACCGTTATACATAAAATGGGAGTCGTCTTATTCAGAATTCAAAATATGCCTGTTCATATGAATTCTAAACTAGGAAGCATTCATACAGTTTGTATAGCTTACAGTGACGATATAAAAAAATACGGTTTTGAGAAAATTTTTCAACCATTAATGCGTGATATAAAAAAACTGGAGTCAGATGAAGGTGTGACCATTCAAATAGGAAATGAAAATTTTGTTCTTCGAGCTAGCATTGCTGGATTATGTGGAGATGGGTTAGCTATTCACCAAGTATGTGGACATCTTGATCCTTCTGCCAATAAATTTTGTAGAACATGCCTCATAACCCGTGCAGAACTTCATCGAAAAGATTTTACACCGAAACAAGAAAGAACGAAAGAGATTTTTGAACAGCATGTCGCTCAAATAAAAAATGCAAGAAATAGAGTACAAGAAATTATGACAGAAACAGGAATTAAAAATAGCTGTCCATTAAATGAATCGAAATATTTTCACAATTCGCGTAATAAGATTTTTGACCCAATGCATGACTTTTTACAAGGTATTGTACCCATGATTTTGAAATTAGTTCTACATCAA